AAAAAAAAAAGAAAAGGTTGGAAGTGGTGCTGTGGCTCAAGTGGTGGCCTTGAGCAAATGAAGCTCAGGGACAGTGCCCAGGCCTGGAATTCAAGCCCCAGGATTGGGGGGAGAAAACTGGTTTATGTGATTAGCACGTTTGGAAGTGCCACAAATATGGGTGTTGTAACCCTGCCTGGCCATCATTATGATTGTTTCTCAGTCTTCTAAATCTTTGAATAAGTGGCAGAAGAATGCATCTTTGTGTGATTATTTGGAAAAAGACAAGAATATTTCATTATATAATCACAGTGCAATTATCAAAATCAGAATTTCAATTGATAGAACACTATTATCTATCAACAATACTTAATACAATCAATATAATGTCCCCAAGCTGTCATGTATATCCTTTTTTCCTAGTCTATAATTAATCTAAATTATACGTTTTATTTACTCATAGTCTTTGTTTTCCTTAAACTTGTAATGCCCCTTACATTTTTACTTTACTGACTATGACATTTTGAATAAATATGTAGGTACCAGTAAGCCCCATTGTGGTTTATTGACCAGAGATGACAAAAAAGGTTCTATTTAGCAGTGCTTTGAGAGTTTATGTAACCCTATGTGTCTTACTTACCAGATTTACATCCCAAATACAGAAAGGTAAAAATGTATTCTTCTTTGGAATAGGATGATGAGTTTTCTTTTGTTAAAGAGTTTTGAGTGTAGCCACAGTAGGATCAGCAGATTATCAAATGAAGATTCTGATGACTTGTCCACGAAGAAGTGCACATATGACAGATTTGTACCTGATCAGGAAGCACAAGGCTGAATGCAATAAATATCATTTTAAAATATATTTATGACATTTTATTTGTCCTTTTGTTTGTTTGCTTTTGCATCTCTGAGGATTAAGCCAGTTACCAAAACAAGCACTGTGCCACGAGTTAGCCCTATTTGCTCCAGATCTTTTTTCTACTTTCTTCTTTGTTTCATTTTTCTTCCACACTTGGTTATCTTGAAGATTAACTAATAATAGTATATGTATAGAGGCTTGGCATTAAAGACTTTCGTAGATGACTCATTAGGAAGAAAATAAGATTTAAAAGTCACTATTCATGAAACATTTTTTAACTAAATTGTAGTTAGTATCCTTACATTTTTTAATAGCCTTATTCTAGTTATACTGCTACTAAATAGACGTAAATTTTCTACTTCTTTTTTCTTTTTAATAGAAAGTGACTTTAGCGATGATTTTAGTGATGATTTTGTAGAAACTCGACGAAGGCGGTCAAGGAGGAACCAGAAAAGACAAATTAATTATAAAGAAGATTCAGAAAGTGAAGGTTCCCAGAAAAGTTTACGGCGTGGTAAAGAAATAAGGCGAGTTCACAAGCGCAGACTTTCCAGCTCAGAAAGTGAAGGTAAGGATTAAATGTCCTGTTCATGGAAGTACGGACAAGGCAGAAAGACACTATAGAAGTGAATTCAGATTGTGATTTTTGCAGAATTTTTTTTAATTCCTGTAAGAAATAGCTTTGAAATCTTTCTTTTCAATCACTAATTATAGGGTAAGCTGGGCACTATAGCTGGCACCTGTGATCCTAGCTACTCAGGTGACTAAGATCTGTGGATTGAAATAGAAAGCCAACTCAGAAATTTCCAAGAGACTCTTCAGTTAACTAGTAAAGAGCCAGAAGTAGAGGTATGGCTCAAGTGGTAGAACACCAGCCTTGAGTAAAAAAACTAAGTACAAATGAGAGGCCTTGAGCTCAAGGCCCAGTACCAGCACACACACAAAAAAACAACTAAAAAACTCACAATCCCCATAAACATAGCTTAAATAAATGACCCTTGATAAGATGCTAGTTTTTGAGAATTCTTCTGTAATAAATTCTTCATTGAAACTGAGTCTTTAGAGGTCTCAAAAGAGTGTAGTTTGCTTTGTAATTGTCTCTGTTCCTTTTTCTGCCCATTATTTTTGGCCTTTGTGATAACTTCCTATGCCCTAAAGAGCCAATTTTTAACTAAAGTATCTACTGTCTCTCTCCATTCTTACTGTGTCCCATCCCAGAAGGTGTAGGGAAAATTCTACTTCACAAGTTTGTCCATGTAGTTTTTGTATTTAAAATTTAGAGCTCTTCCTAAGTTCATTTTAAATAATCTTGCTTTCCCACTTTGTGTATGTGTGTGTGCATGCATGCTTATGTTCATGCACATGTGAACCTAGGCCCTGGCCACTGTCCCTAAGCTTTCTAGCAATGCTAGTGCTCTTTCACTTGAGACGCAGCTCCACTGTGGATTTTTTCTGGTTCATTGGAGATCAGTCTCATGGATTTCTGCTTGGGCTAGCTTTGAATCTCAATCCTCAGATCTTAGCCTCCTGAATAGCTAGGATTACAGGTAAGAGGCACCACCAATGTTCAATGCCACCTTTTCTTTTTATACATTTAATTCATCACTATTTATGACCTGTTTCGAAAATGATTTTGTTTTGTAGATTAAACATAAGAAATTGAATTTACATGAAAGCCAGGAAAAGAAGAATGTATGAATGTATTACATGCTTGTTTTCCTTCACATGTAATGGATAAATTGATTCAGCCATTAAGTATATGTTAAATTTTACTGTATTCTAATTTAAATTAACAGAAAACAAAATAGCCCTCATGTAACTTATTTTTAGTCAAAGATGGAGGGGGAAAACCAATCTAGATAAATAAGTAGAGTGTGAAGCATTAGATGGAGATAGATGTTAGGAGGGATTGAAACAAACAGGAGATAGGAGCTTGGGAGAGTAGTTGGGACTTCAGATTGTGTACTAAAGAAAGTCATTACTGGAAGGGGTAACAAGTCTGACAAGAAATGTGCTTATTACCTTACTTATATAACTGTAACCCCTCTGTACATCACCTTGACAATTAAAAAAAGTCATAACTTTAAATTACTGAAAGTACAACATTTAAGGACTGGAAGTATAGCTCAGTGGTATAGCATTTGTGTAGGATGCAAAAAGCCCTGAGTTCAGTTCCCAGCAAGGGAGGCAGGAAGAACAAGAGCAAGAGAGGAATGAAAACAAAGTTTAAGTAAAGAAGGAATATTGGGTATGAGGCAAGCAGTTAACTAAAAGAAGAATGATACTGACAGATGGAACAACACATGTGACAGCCTTGAGCCAAGTTTGTGCCTGGCATGCTCAGGGAACAGAAGGGGATCCATGGTTGTTTTAACTGAATGAGTGAAAGCTTCCAAATAGAGTATGAGATGAAGCATTGAGATCAATGGGTGCCAGATCATATATAGAATAAGAGTCCATAGGGGCTGGGAAGGTGGCTGAGTGGTAGAGAGCTTGCCTTGCATGCATGAGGCCCTGGGTTCAATTCCTCAGCACCACATAAGCAGAAGAAAAAAAAGCCGGAAGTGGCACTGTGGCTCAAGTGGTAGAGTGCTAGCCTTGAGCTGAAGAGCTGAGGGACAGCGCCCAGGCCCAGAGTTCAGGCCCCATGACCGGACCCAAAAAAAATAAATAAATAAACTGTATCACACTTGTTTGCACAAATAAGCTTTTAACAAAGTTTTACTGAAAGGTAGCTATACCCCTTTGTTTAAATACTACGTAACTGTTTTCATAAAAAGTTGAGTAGTTGGGACAGAGTCTGGATCTGCCCTTTGCAGGGGAGAAAAATGCTGCTGTCTTATGTAGACCAGAGCTGTATTTCTACAATGATGGCAATATTCTGTGTCCATACTCATCAGTTCAGTGAGCAGTAATATTATGTGGCTGTTGAGCACTTAAAATGTAGCTAGTTTGATCAGAAAACTGAATTTTTGTTGAATTTTAATTAAGTTAAATAACCACATGACTAATTCTTAATCATTGGATAACATGGCCATTGTAGATTTTATTCTGTGTGAACTGAAAAGCAATTGGAAGATTTTGAAAGTTTCATCTGACTTTAGTTTTAAGTTGCTATGATAGTTGTATTTATGAATAAATTGAAAGGGACCAGGGAATAACATGGAGACCAGTTAGGAGGTGCTTAAACCATCTTAAGTGGGAGATGATGGTGACTGGTACTGGGGCCATAGCAGTCAAGTTTACAGATATGTTTTGAAGCTAGAATTTATTGAGGACTGGGTGAGATAAAGAATTAAAGAACAATTTTAAGAATAGAATTGTGAGAGCCAAGCACTAGTGGCTCATGGCTCAATCAGAAGACTGACATTTGAGGATCAAAGTCCAAGCCTTCTCTCCAGTTAAGCCACCAAAAGTGGAGCTGTGGCTCACATGGTAGAATGCTAGCCTTGAGCAGAAAAGCTAAGCTTAGGACAGTGTCCAGACCCTGAGTTTTTTGTACTCAGTACTGTCACACACAAAAATAGAAATTAAGCCAGGCACCTTTGGCTCACACATGTAATTCTAGCTACTCAGGAGACTGAGACCTGAGGATTGCAGTTCAAAGCCAGCCTGGGCAGGAAAGTCCATGAGACTCTTATCTCCACTTAACTACCACGAAACCAGAAATGGCACTGTGGCTCAAGTAGTAGAGTGCTTAGTCTTGAGCGGAAGAACTCAGGGACAGTGCCTAGAGTTCAAGTCCCACAACCAGCCAAAAAAGAAATTAAGATGGTAGAAACCACAGTGCCACAAACTTAAAGGGAATGTTTTGTTTGATATGTTTATATGTTTGTTAAGTTTATATCAAAGCTCTTTAAGTTGAGGAGGCAGTTTGACAGGGGACTCTGGAATATAGTGATTTTATCTAAACCAGAAAGAGGATTATCAGCATATAAGTGGTATACAAAGCTACAAGAGTATGTGAGGTAAGTATAGACAGAAGAAGACATTTCTAGACTATCAAAGGCATTTAATAACATGAAAATTGAATGGTATTTCAGATGAACAAAGGGCTGCCCAGTTTTAACTTGTCTTTATCAGTGTAAGTCCTAATTTTTAGGACTAGTGAGAAGGGATTTCCTAGTCTGTGATCAATCTATCTTTCAATGCAAGGATCATCAGACTTCGCTAGGAAATCTTCTCTTTCCTAAAATCATAGGTTGAGTCCACATGAATTCTTTTTTTTTTTTTTTGCTAGTCATGGTGCCCCCTCAGCTCTTCAGCTCAAGGCTAGTGCTCTACCACTTGAGCCACAGCACCACTTCCAGCTTTTTCTGCTTATGTGGTGCTGAGGAATCGAACCCTGGGCCTCATGCATGCAAGGCAAGCACTCTACCACTGAGCCACCTTCCCAGCCCCCCACATGAATTCTTGGACACTGTTTGTTAGAGGACTGAAAGAGGCCATTTACTACTGAAGAGAAATACTTACGTACACTTAGACGTGAAAGCAGACTATAAGTGCATATAGATAGGGAAGGAGCACTGTTTATGGTTCACTGTGCCAAAAGTTTAAATATGCTGTTTATTCTAGAGAGCTATATGTCCAAGAACTCTGAAGATGATGAGCTAGCTAAAGAATCAAAACGATCAGTTCGAAAGCGGGGCCGAAGCACAGATGAGTATTCAGAAGCTGATGAGGAGGAAGAAGAGGAAGGCAAACCATCCCGAAAACGGCTACACCGGATTGAGACAGATGAGGAAAGCTGTGACAATGCCCATGGAGATGCAGACCAGCCTACCCATGACAGCCAGCCCAGAACCCTGCCCTCAGAGCAAGAGAGCACCAAAAAGCCCTACCGGATAGAAAGTGATGAGGAAGAAGACTTTGAAAATGTAGGCAAAGTGGAAAGTCCATTGGACTATAGTTTAGTGGACTTGCCTTCCACCAATGGACAGAGTCCTGGCAAAGCCATTGAGAACTTGATGGGCAAGCCAGCTGACAAGCCCCAAACCCCCAAGGACAATAGCACAGCCAGTGCAAGCCTAGCCTCCAATGGGACAAGTGGTGGGCAGGAGGCAGGAGCACCAGAAGAGGAAGAAGATGAGCTTTTGAGAGTGACTGACCTTGTCGATTATGTCTGTAACAGTGAACAGTTATAAGACTTTTTTTCCATTTTTGTGCTAATTTATTCCACGGTAGCTCACACACCAGCGGGCCAGTTATTAAAAGCTGTTTAATTTTTCCTAGAAAACTCCACTACAGAATGACTTTTTAGAAGAAAAATCACAACAGACCCTGAAGTCTTTCTGTGAAGTGACCAGTTTTGAACTTTGAAGATAAATAATTGCTGTAAATTCCTTTGATTTTCTTTTTCCAAGTTCATGGTCCTTGGTAATTTCATTCATGGAAAAAAAATCTTATTATAATAACAACAAAGATTTGTATATTTTTGACTTTATATTTCCTGAGCTCTCCTGACTTTGTGAAAAGGGTAGATAAGAATGCATTCCATATCTATCAGGGCCCAAAACAGAATTTAGGGGTGGGAGAAAGCACTTGTGCTTTAGCTTTTTCATATTAAAATATATATTATATTTAAACATTCATGGCATAGATGATGATTAACAGATTGTCTAAAAGTCCAAATCTGTATCGTTGCAGATTGAGAATTGTAGGTAACATCATACATGTGTTAATTAGTAATAACCTTCGCGAAATCAACTTGGTTTTTATTAAAGTTACCACACTTTAAATAAAGAAGAGACCGTGAAAGTATCATCATCAAAACACTTTTACCCAAGTTTCTGTTACAGCGGAGTTACTTGTTTGGAAAAAGAAAAAAATCATCTGAAAAGCATTTGTATATTAAAGTGTGTAATGAAGCTTTGACAACCAATCATGCTAGTAACAAATGTTTTACATTAGCTTTATGCAGTGGTAATAAGGTGGCCTCTCTAATATCCTGTGTCTCCAGGGAAGTTAGTGAAATGAGTGTGATCTTTCCTAAAAAACCCTGGTGGGCTATGTACTTTGCTGGTACTCAAACCCTTGTCTTCTGGCCACTTGATGTTTAAATATCTGAAATGTCATTTTGAGCGAAATAACATCCATGTATAATGTACATAAAGAGATACTAAGCTGACAATGGCACATTTTGAAGACTGGAAAGGGATTTTCAGGTGAATTTTAGCTGGTCTATTCTTGCCCTTAGTACCTACTTCAAATTGAAGTCTACAAACAAAGCAGTTCCTTTGGGAGGTTTTTAATTTGAGTTTTAATGTGTGTGTATGTGTGTATGTATGTATGTGTGTTGAAATTTTCTATCTGCCTGGATATATTAGCAGGGTTTGAATGTAGTTTTGGCCTTTGGCCATTAGACTTATATTAAAATTTATGAGTAGTCACACAACCAACATAGAATTGAATGAGAACTGCCAATATACCTAAAAAGCTTGGTATCCATTTCAAACATCTCAACATTTTAAAGAACAATAAGCCCTGTTTTGGTCGTTTGTAACTAAATAACTTAAAAGAAGCTGACACTAAAATATGAAGTTCATTTTCTTTTCTGTTACAGCTGTAAATTTTCAGGCAGAGCCATAACATTGTACAGAATATAGTGCTTGTGATCAAATCTTGCCTGTAACGTTCTGAAACCTTTAACCATTAGTTCTGTGAGTGCTCTTGCCCTGAGGTTTGGGTTTTTCTGTTCCAGTGTTGTCTGTTGCCGGCAACTGACACACCATATCTGCTGCTGGCCCAGGGAACTTCATTTCTCTTTTCCAATTAATCATTATATATGGTAGTCAGTGTGTAGTGTAAACCACTCCTTTTTATTACAAAGCTGGCATTAGACTTACATTATAAATATCCCACCCACCCACCCCCCCAAAAAAAAACTTTATAATTCCTATTTGTCCTTCCTCAACAGGTATTGATTGCCCTTAAATCTTCTTTGGGCCTTGAACATTTATAGCTGTTATTTTGCAGTTGTTATTTTTTTTGTTTCACTTTATTTCTATAGTACCTACCCATTAATATTTTTGCTTTGATTCTAACAATGTATATGTATCTGTATCAAAATAAAATAATGAAAGCAGCCTAAAAATAGGATGCAACAAGAGCATATGGTTCCAAGCAAGTTGTGATTTTTATTTTGAGATAATGTTTCATTGAAAAGGGAGGGGACGGTTTATCACAAGCAGCATAGTAGGCCTTTAAAAAAAAAGCCAATTAACCTTTCTAGGTAGGTTTGTTTCATTTATTTGAAAGTTACTAAGAATTTTAATATTTTATCTAAAAGGATTTCTATCCATGCAAGGTAAGTGGTTCAACATTCAGGCAGTCTTTCCTGACACCCCGTCTCCCTGCCCTGTTTTACTTCTACAACCAGGTAAAGCCACTAAATAGAAACTCTCCCATGTGCCCTGCCTCTCTACCTCTGGATGCCTCAGCTCCTGCTTCCCCTATTATTCCTACTTCTCAGTTAAGCAGTTGTTAGTAGTATTAAATGGATAATTGAACAACAGATTTCCTGGTATGAAATAAGGAGTTTTCTCTCCTCCCATAGTAAAGACTGAGTGTACCATTAGCAAATGTCCCAACATGGGTTATAAAACCACTTGTGCTGCCTGACACTTATCAAACTTGAATAAACTGCCAACTTGATACTCTTATGTGGCTAAATTCCCATTAAACCAATTACTTATGGTTCATCTACTAAGAATGTAATCTAGGCAGCTAATTCTTACTGTACAGATAGACTGATCAAATGGTGAACAGTTGTACTGCTTGTTTTTTTATTCTGGTTTTGTTCTTGATCTGTGCTGAGGAATGAACCCGGGGCTTCATCCATGCTAGGCAAGTGTTCTAGCACTGAGCTAAGTCCTACCCTTGTTTAATGTTTATAGAGTCAGTCCTCAGAATCTATTATTTCTCAGAAATGTGTATTCTGAACATGTTCTGAAGAAGTACTCTTAAAAATGGAAAAAATATGTTTATATTTAAAGGCATGAAACAATCTTCAGCACTGGACAGAAAGGAAAGGAGCAATCATCTTTTGGTTCTTTTCAACTATGGATTTAGTGTCTCAACAACTGCTATAGAATAGCGCCCTTTCCTAGTTTATACCTCCCTTTTACTGAATAAAGGTGGGTTCCCAATATTAAACTCTAGTATAAAGCAAATATATTAAGGGAAGATAGAGTTTAGTATTCAGACTGTTTAGTTTGCAATTTCTGTAAAGGTTTGGAAACTAGCTAAATTTTCACAATGTAGAAACTTTGAACTGAATTATATGAAAAGGACGCAGACTGGTTTTGTACATTTGTCCTGATGAAATAATGTTTAATGTAAAATATTCTGTTGTCACATTACTATGAAAGGGTGACAAGTACTTTCAAGAAGAATATATGTGATATACTAAAGTTGATTTTCCTTGACATCCTTTTCCACCTGGCCAAGGTTGTAGATTAAGAGGATAAAAAGAAGTTCCATTAAAAATAAATTCATGTATACTGGTAAATCTATTTTTTAAAAAAGTGACCAAAGAATCAAGAACTTTGAGTGATAATGATATTACTAAATAAAAGGTTTTTTTAACAAATTTATTTTCAAGAATATTACATGCCAGTTTTCACTTCCTTGTTGACCAGAACCCATCGTACATATTTACAAAAAATATATGTATTAAGACAAATGTGGACATTTACTTGTTTAGTCAAAATGAGAAAATATTTTTTAAAGTAGAATTGATGGAATTTCTTTTGTCACAAGGAATGCCTGCTTAGCTTGTTTGTAGGCATAAGAGATATTCAAAATCCTAATGAAACTACAGATTCAACACACAGAATGTGTGAACTTCATTCTTTACCAACACAATGGAACAGATCCCTAACTGTTCCCTCACAGCTTTAGAACAAGTATTTAAAGACAGATTCTTTTTCAAATGGAATACACACACACACACACACACGACAGTTTACTAGAATGAAACCACATTAATTTGTAAAAAGAAATAAGGCAAATAGTTGCATTACAAATGACAAAAAAAATAATATCATTTGATTATAGAATTAGCCTGGAGGAAAAGTTTCTCTTGTTGGTTTGAATCTCTTAAAGTGTATTCCAAGAAGCAGAGAATGCCAAGAGTGAATATGTGCCATAATCTACCCAGTCCTCAGCTGCTTAAAAGTAGTACAGGTGCATATTAAACTCTTAGAATATCCATTCCTCTTCTACCCACCATTCCCAGTAAAAATGTGTAATTCCCTATAAACCTATCTTGGAAGGGGTAAGTAACTGCTGATTTTTGTTTTCATTTTATACCAATCATGAAAGATTGCTGTCAGTGTTTTTAAACTGGGCTATTGAGTTTTACTGATGTCTTTTCAAAATATTTCACTCCAACTTAAATTATTCTAATGTTTTTTGAGTGCCAAGAATTGCTAAAGAACTATATAACCACATTGAGGATTGTCATTCCCAAGTCAACAGTCATAGGCCAAAATATAATAAGCTAGGTATATATTCACTGTAGATAGTGCACCCAATACTTTTTTACTCATAAAGGGCCTCTCTGGTATTTTATTAGAATTGTGTTCCCTTAGTGGATTTTTTTCCCCACATTTCGGCCATGTAAGCTCAATTACTTTTTCATTTCATACTTATGCCACTTAGTTCTGGAAGATTCTGTCAATCCCGTTTTGGTACATTGTAGTTTTGGTTACTGAAGATGTTATGTTAATAATTTTTAAGTATGTCTATCCTGTACATAAGGAATAGGAGAAGACATGTTATTATATAAGTAGGAATTTATTACGCTGTAGACATTTTGAGTAACAAATTCTAAAAAGAGACATTTTTAAAAGAACAACATTTGTGCTTTTTTTTGCCAAACCAGTACAAGCTAGAAAATGTGCAAAGGACTGAATAACCTGCCTTGTTCTTTTTTGCCACTGGATGATGTAAGTTGAGAATGGAGTTGTTAACCTTAACTATATTTCATCAGTTGCTAAGGAAATCTAATTTAAGTGTTTGGGGATTTTGTTTGATCTGTATTTATTGAGTTTTGATCATAGACCAGGAGCCTGCCTATCATGCTTACAGGCAGCCAGAACACCTTCACTGAGAAATTTAATGGCTCAAGACCTGAATCATTTAACTTATTTTGTATGTTGGGGGGAAAAAAAGTTTATTTTGCTCGAGAGTCACATTTTTTTATAACTGTACAGCTTTTAAGGGATGGGAGGTGGGAAAAATACCCTAAAATAGGATGTAGATTTTTACAATTGTGTTTATGCTAGAACCTCTACAGGTGCATTATGTAATTAAACCTACAATTGTTTAAAAATTTGTGCTATGGTCTTTTTCATTCTACTGCCCTTAAGCAGAGTTAAGCATGTCAATACTGCTGGATGGACAAGACTTGAAATTAGGCTAAAATTTGTTTCCAAAGCTTTGTGATCATTGCATGATATACTCACCTACATGGAGACATACACACACACACACACAAATCTTTATATTAGAGTCAGTGGATTTTTCAGGATCAGAACAACTGTAACAGCCCAATTTTGACAGCCAACAGCATATTCTTTCAGTGCATGGTTTTCATGATGCCTTATAATTTTCAATGTTGGTCTGGTATTTTATTATCAAAGTAGCTTCAGAATCATAGTATCTGAACAGTAGCTTGCCCTAAACTGCCATGTGCACTTCAGAGAGGATGGATGTCCTGTGTTGGTAGGGATAGGACAGGGCTTGTTTTCTAGTTATTCAGAAGACTCAGTTACACAGGAATGCTTGCTGAAAGATGGCTGGAAAGGAAATATTCAATTTGAGAAATATTGAAGAACTGCTGGTTTGATTTTTGTGACACATTTTTATCAATACATTGATACCTTTTTTTAATGCCAGGACTTTTTGCCATCTGATGATTTACTATTCTAATTTCTCATCTTTGTAGTGCAAATATATTTTGCATCATCTAGCAGGGCACCAGTGGCTCATGCCTGTAATCCTAGCTACTCAGGAGGCTGAGATCTGAGGATCATGGTTCGAAGCCAGCCCAGGCAACAAAGTCCATGAGACTCATCTCCAAAAAACTGCCAGAAAACCAGAAGAGGTACTGTGACTCAAGTAGTAGAGCAGTAACCTTGAGCAGATGAGCTCAGGGACAGCGCCCAGGCCCAGAGTTCAAGCCCCATGACCAATAAATAAATAAGAAAAATCATTTAAATCTGTAATAATTTCTAAGCAAACTTTACTGTCAATGTAGGAAGTCTGTTGTTTTTTTCATATTACTTGGGGCTATGAATATCCACATGAACAATACAGATTCCAGATAAGATACAATAAATAGTTTAATTGATCTTAAATCACTGGAATCCAAGAAGCATTTGCTCTAGATCACCTGGATTTTCATATGTACTTTAGTGAAATGCTTTATTTCTTACGTATAAAAAAGTTTCCAGATAGACACTTGGAATATTTTATTTGGAGATGAGGGCTAAAGAAGAAACTCCAAGATAGGCATAAAACTCTTCAAGTTAATCAGGACCATACGTTAATAGAAGCTAGAGTGCTATCATATAATAATGTACTTCATGGTGTGAGGGAGATGGAAAGAGAACTGAAAACTAGAAATGTGATTCTGGTAACACTAAATTTTGTGTATAATAAACATGGGTGATTCCTGATAGCTTAAAGAGATTCAGGAATTAACTGCAGTGTTTGAACACCTGGTGTGTTAGAATTGCAGTGGATAGTTTAAATACAATATTCCTTGTGACAACCAAAATACGTTGTGGCTGGTGCCAGTATTTTTGTTAACAAAATGTTTAATGTCTCACTACAGTCTGGTCAGAACTTAGTGTTATAAGCTAGGCCTAAAGCCATTTTATAGCGGCTGGCCTAATTGTGTAATTTTTCTTTAAAATGTTTTATTATATACTGTCATTTCTTTCATTTAATATATATGTCAATTGTCACAATAAAAAATTTAAATACTTTGACTTACTTAGCATGTGTTTGTAAGCCTAGTTTTAAATTTTGTGACATCTAGAAAACTAATATTTTTCTGTTAAAGGCTCATGAAGGTTAAGATATTTTAATACCCAGTTACAGACTTATTTTTCACTATGTATAAAGTAAATTTGCAAGTGCACCAATTTCTCTAAAATAATTTATTTTTTAAAATACAGATACTTAAATACAAAATATTTGTGCATTCATATGTCACCATTGTAACAGAATTCAAAGTAATTTTAAGGCAACTTGCCAAGTCAGTATCTACAGATAATAGAAAACTATTTTTTGACTGTGCTGTGTGGTCCCACTGGAGCTCTGAACTACACCACTGAAACAGCCATAGGCAAAAGTTCTGTTCTTTGTGGAGGGTGAAGGAGTAAATGAGTTCTTTTGTAGTTTACTTACTTTGGGTGTGAATTCTTGAAATAGGGGACATTTAGGTATAGGCTGACTTGCCTACCAGTAAGCAGGTGCATGATACAGATCAGCACATTTAAAAAGGGAATAAATCAGATTACTTTAATGGACCAACCCTGAGTATGACGCTCATCACCAATTTATTGTTGTGATTATTAGCAGGGGTAGCCTAGACTGGCTTCAAATGTGCCATCCTCCTGTCACTTCTCAAGTGGTGGGATTACAGGTGTGCAACACAATGCCTGGCGCTCATTTCCAAATTTTGATTTGACAATTCTTCCTCATTGTTGGAATACAGTAAAATTCAAGCTGAACTTTTACTATTGCTTAACAATAGACTGGCAGACTTTTTGCAAACTGTGATCGGAAATATTAACTAGGTGAAGAGCTTTTGAAGTTCAGTCAATTAATAAAGTGAAAGCTAGTCCGTGGAGAGAAAAAGATGGATTTATTTGAAGGTTGTCGACATTGGTCTTCATTTTTTTTTTTTCTTTTTCCGGGGCAAAGGTGGTGGGAGGCCGCATTTGTTTCGATGGCTTTAGGGGATTTGGAACTGGGTTTGGCCCTATCAGTCCGGGATGGTTTTTTTTTTTAGTTTTAATTTCTGGATTGTGAACATTTCCACCCCGGTCAGTGCCATCTTCATAATATCTGAGACCCCAGCTTCTGCCATATTCCCAAAGCGGGTACCGGGGATTTGTTATAACAAGGACTATCATGTGGGACCCATGTAGCAGAATTTTTGCATTGTCGTTTGATTATCCTAAGATGGGGGTTGGCACGAGATGGAGTCCAGCTAGTGGTTATTGTGTCACACCCCCAGGAGCGTTACAAGGCGGGGCTGTGACACTTGGACACATATAAAAGTGGTGGGGCCTAGTAACCCTGGTAATGCAGCCAGATATGGGGGGGCAGCTGGCACAGGGACACATTACCTTGTACAGTTTGGTGAGTTGTGTTTTCACCACTTGGTATGAGCTTTTTTTTTTTTTTTTTTTTGGGTCCGGTCGTAGGGCCTGAACTCTGGGCCTGGGCGCTGTCCCTCAGCTCTTCAGCTCAAGGTTAGCACTCTACCACTTGAGCCACAGCGCCACTTCCGGCTTTTTTCTTTTTGCTTATGTGGTGCTGAGGAATCGAACCCAGGGCCTCTTGCATGCAAGGCAAGCGCTCTACCACTGAGCCAACATCCCAGCCCTTGTATGAGCTTTTTTACTTCTCCTGATTTGTCTTATCTCCCAGCTGTACTTTTCTGTCATGTGAGGTGACTCAGAAGCTCCCATACCACCAGGCAACAATAAAGGCAACAAGGAAAACAACAATAAAGTCATGGTCTTCTGGGTCTCAGCTTTAGTCCACGGTCGGCGGGGTCCATCGGCAGCGGCTTCCATCCCTGGGGGGCGTCCTCGTTCTCGGCGTGTTTCACGTGGCACGCGTGAATGCGGGTCCTCAGACCTGCTACTTTGAAGGTCACAGGGCGGGGGGGGGGGTGGTCAAGATGACCATCAATGGTCCCTTCCGGTGTTCTCCCACTTGGTGGCTCAGATCCCTGCGTGCAGATGTACGCCTGCTGCAGTGACTGGAGCACAGGCTGCTCAGTCATTTCCGCCAAGGCAACCTCTTGTAGTGTGCAGAGTGGAGGGGGGGTCCCCCACACATTACCTCAAGTGGGGTAACCTTGTGTAAAGTAAGGTGTGCTGGGAGATCTAAGGAGGGCGAAGGGAAGGAGATCCACCCATCCACCGCCAGTCTCCAGAATTAACTTTGTCAAGGTCTCTTTGGGAGTCTGGTTCGTTCTACTTGTCCACAGCTCCGGGGCCGGTAGACACTGGGTAGTTTCCAATTAGTGCCTGCGGCCTTGGCCAAGGCCTGGGAGACTGAACTCACAAATGCAGGGCCGTTATCTGACCCGACCGTGAGAGGCACCCCAAACCTAGGAATTATTTCCTCTGGTAGCTTTTTGGCCTCTCAGGTTTGGTGGAGAAAGCCTCTACCCAGAAAAGGTCTCCACAAAAACTAGCATATACTTGTATCCATACCTTCCCTGTTTCATTCTCTGTGAAATCCACTTCCCAATACATTCCTGGTGCCCTCTCTCTCTTTCTGTCTCTGTCTGTCTGTCTGTCTGTCCCTCTCTCTCTTTCTCTGGCTCTCTCTTCCCATCCTGGTTCCCCCTGCGTTTACTGTCTGACATTGAGCACTTCTGTTTAGCATATCTTGAACCACATGTCCTAGCTTAGGAACATGACAAGTCTTTCAGCTTGCGTGTCCCCAAAGGAGTGCTGCTTTGTCCCCAGCCTTTGGGGAAGAACCAACTTTCCTTGTCCTAGTTTTGGCCCACTCCCCTCCCCCCACTAGTTCACCCCACTTTTGTAAATATTTTAAGTTGTCTTAGGAATAGCTTGGCTTTTCCACTAGGGCTGGAGCCGGGAGGGCAGCCAGTTCGTGCGCCTTTTCTCGGGCTGCTTGCTTTGCAGCTCGGTGGGCTAGGCCGCTCCTTGGCTCAGGGTCCCTGACCTGAACCTAAGCCTTCCCACCTGCTTTCCTGGCGCTTAGGCTTTTCTCTCCACTGACCATGTCCTACCTGCCTCTTTCCTTTCCACTGACCTCCTTCCCCATTTCTTTCCCGCCTCATGGAACGCCAATACCTTAACCATTTTCCTGCTCTGCCTTTCATCCTCTTGCACGTCCCTGTTGCTGAACACCTTTTCTGCTATGCCCACTAATTTAGCAGGTTTTTCCCTTCAAACCCCTCAATTTTCTGGAGCTTCCTCCTCCTGTCTGGGGCCGACTGGCTAGCGAAGGCAAGGCTAATTGCTCTCAGATTTTGGGGTACCTCCATAAGCCCTTCCCGAAAAGCCCCTGGGGACTCATCCTTACCTTGAGTCACCTCGCTGATCTTAGATTTATGGGCCTCCTTGTAGCCGCACGGAGTCCCCTCAACAGAGTCTGGCGGTAGAAATGGGGCTCTCCTTACCTTCATTGGTGTTTGGGTCCTAGTTGGGGGGGTTCTCTTGGGCAGTAGTCTTCCATTTTCCGGGGGACTTGGCCCAACCTCTCAATTATCACTTGATGTGTTTCCCTTATAATGCGGTTCCTCTCTTCTGCATTAAAGAGGGCCATAAGGAGCTGTTGGATGTCCACCCAGGAGGACCAGTGGGTAAGGAAGGCAGTTTCCAAGAGACTAATCAGATCCTGGGGGTGGGCACAGAAAGACTTATGCTGGGCTTTCCAGTTATAGATGTCAGAAGAAGAAAGGGAACATAGGTTAGGTAGGGGCGCCCTCTCCCATCCGGTGGAGCTTCCTTGCGAAGGGCAGCATTGGAGCCTTTGGAACTGGAGGGGGAGAGGGTGGCAGAGGAGGGTAGAGGGAGGGGGAAGAATTGGGTTGGTCTTTCTGTTCAATGGGTCCATAAGCGGCTCCCTTCCGCGTATGGGGTAGGCTGGTGAGAGTATTCCTGGGCTGAGACTTGAGTCTAGAGGAAGAATAGGGAGGTGGGAAGTCCAAATCATCTGTATCTGTCCAAGGTAGGATGGTCTTTTATTTTTTTGCCGGTTGTGGGGCCTGAACTCTGGGCCTGGGCACTGTCCCTCAGCTCTTCAGCTCAAGACTAGCGCTCTACCACTTGAGCCACAGCGCCACTTCGGGCTTTTTTCTGCTTCTGTGGTGCTGAGGAATCGAACCCAGGGCTTCATGCATGCAAGGCAAGCACTCTACCACTGAGCCACCTTCCCAAACCTGGATGGTCTTTTTTAGCCTCCCCTTTTCTTCTGTTTCTAGTTTCGGGGATCTGGCCTGCCTCGGAGAGAAATTGATTTTGTTAGTAGGAGAAAGGTGTAGTTTTAGCCATGATGGAGGCTCTGTGACCAGGTACCACCAGGCCACAATGTTCGGTGGAAATCCAAGACCTTAGTCTGGGTAGACTAGATTTGGGCCAAAGCGAACATCCCCTCTGGCGGCCATCCTGTAAAGAAAGTGGGCCACTCCATCTGGTAGTGTTCTTAGTTTTTCCGGATAAACTTCGTCACCCAACTGGGTGGCTTTACCTTGAAAATCCTCCAAGTGTTGCAGAACAAGATTCAGGGGTGTCACAGGCTCCTTGCTCCCTGCCTGCCCCATTTCTCCATTCACAACAAATATCAGGACAGACAACAGAAAGACAAGACAAAGACAACCGCAGACCCAGCAGCCCCTCCTCGACAAGATAGAAAATCTAAGGGCAGACAAGATGTAACCCCAACTCAAAAACACAACCTGCTGCTAGTGGTGATTTTCCCAATCCCCTGACTGCCTCGGGGGACTTGAACCCCCTCCTAGCGATCTACAGACGGAGGGATGGGGCGTCCCAGCATCCACTCCGGCCCTGGGGAGCCAGTTTCTCCCCGGTGGGCTCCCCCCTGGAGCTCCGCAAACCCAGAAACAGAACAGGATCTAGCAGAACAGGACCTCGAGATCTTACCTCCGGAGATTTTTTTTTCCCTAGAAATTCTGATGCTGGCTCAGTCCTCGTTTGATCCCGGACGCCCCATTATTTTGGGATCCTTGATCAAAGGAACGAGACTCATACAAGATGAAAGTCAAGCAGAGCTTTATTTCGCACCAAGCATCGAGAATCAAACTGACCGGTCAGGGCCTTCTCTAGGGCGAGAGTGGACCCCGCCTTGTCTTACAGGCCAACTTTTATAGGGCAAAACCGCAAAAAACGCAGGCTAACTGTGAGCACATAGCTGTTATGAGCTAACCCTTATCTTCATTGGTTAAAAGCAGAAGGGTTACATAGGTGCTTTTTGCTGCTTGGACGCCTCCACCAGGCCGGCCCCGACCTGGTTTGGCGGGCGTTGTTATGGGGCACTTGCTGGTTCCTTGGAATCCTTTTGTAAATAAGGTTCAGTTCGGCTTGCCTTTGCTGCACTAACAGCAGGTTTTAGTTTCTTTGTGGGCAAGGTCAGCTTGTACTTACTTTACAAACACCAAATGGCTGCCCGGACAAAATGGAGTTACTTAGGCGAAACCGGTCCTAACACCAACTCCGCGTCTGGCTTTTGGAAATAAGTTATCTTGGACTTTCCTGCCAGGGCTGACTTCGAACCGCGATCCTCAGATCTCAGCCTCCTGAGTAGCTAGGATTACAGGCGTGAGCCACCCCCCGCCCGGCTCAAAATACCATTCTTCATGCTTCCTCTCCCACGGAGCTGCTGTGATGACCGCGAAGCAGCCTGTCCCAGAGAACATGCGATATTCCCAACCTAGAGACACAAAAAAGAAAGAGATGGGCCACGGCGTCTGGTAACAAATGCCCAAGGAACGACAAAGACCTCCAAACAACTTCCTAGAATGCCTCATCTCTATGATCCGCAGCGCCGAAGCTTCCGTGGAGGCAAGGTTGTCTTTCCGGGTGGCTGCGATCGCTTCCGGGGCGTGCCGCCTGGCGCTGTGCTCGCTGCGCGCGCGGCTGCCCTAGGTTTTTGTGTTTATATTCCCCCGACTGCCATGAGCTTCCTCAAAAGTTTCCCGCCGCCGGAGCCGGCGGAGGGGCTCCGGCAGCAGCAGCCGGACACCGAGGCTGTGCTGAACGGGAAGGGCCTCGGCACCGGTACCCTCTACATCTCTGAGAGGTACGGTCCCCCCGTGCGCCCGCGGCGGCCTCCCTCGCCGCGCTGCGGGGCTGCTC